TCTTTTATATGTCTACATATATCATATTGGTTCTGCTTCTCTGGAGAATCCTGACCAATACACTTACCAATACTTGTTATTTTCTTTTTTTTTTTTTAATTCTAGATATCCTAGTGGACATGAGTGGTATCTCATGTGGTTTTGATTTGCATTTCCCTAGTGACTAATAATGTGCATCTTTTCATGTACCTATTGGTCATTTTCTTTGGAGAAATGTCTCTTCAAATCTTTTGCCCATTTGTAAATTAGGTTGTCTTCATTATTGAGTTGTAAGAGTTCTTAATATATTCTGGACATTAGATCCTTATTAGACATATGACTTGCAAATTTTTTCTCCCATCCTGTGGATTATCTTTTCACTTTTGTGATAGTGTCCTTTGACACACAAAAGTTTTTAATTTTGATGAAGTCCAATTTATTTTTTTCTTCGGTTGCTTGTGCTTTGGTGTCATATCTACGAAACTGTTACCTAATCAAACTTCACAAAGATTTACACCTATGTTTTCTTCTAAGAGTTTCATACATTTGGATCTTTAATCCATTTTAATTTTTGTATACGGTGTGAGGTAGAGGTCCAAATTCATTCTCCGACATGTGTACATTCAGTTATTCTAGCACGATTTGCTCAAAACACTATTCTTTCTCCATTTTATTGTCTTGGCACCCTTGTAGAAAATCAATTGACCATAGATGTATGTGTTTATTTCTGGACTCTCAAGTCTTTTTTTTTGTTTTTGTTTTTGTTTTTTTGTTTTTTTTGCGGTATACGGGCCCCTCACTGCTGTGGCCTCTCCCATTATGGAGCACAGGCTCCGGACGCGCAGGCTCAGCGGCCATGGCTCACAGGCCCAGCCTTTCCGTGGCATGTGGGATCTTCCCGGACCGGGGCACGAACCCGTGTCCCCTGCACCGGCAGGCGGACTCTCAACCACTGCGCCACCAGGGAAGCCCTCAAGTCTTTTTAATCAATCTGTATGTCTGTCCTTATGCCAGTACCACACTGCCTTGATTACTATAGCTTTGTAGTAAGTTTTAAAAGCAGGAAGTGTTTTAAACTTGTTCTTCTTTTTCAAGATTGTTTTGACTATTCTTAGTGCCTTGCATTTCTATATAAATTTTAGGATCACTTTGCCCATTTCTCCAAAGACGGTAGTAGGAATTTTGATAGGAGCTGTGTTGAATCTGTAGATCAATTTGGGGAGTTCTGCTATCTGCGATCTGACACAATATTAAGTCTTCCAATCCATGAACACAGAATGTCTTTCCATTTCCTTAATTTCCATCAGTAATGTTTTGTAGTTTTCAGTGTGCAAGTCTTATGTCTCTTTAGTTTAAATATGTTCCAAAGTATTATATACTTTCTGATATTATTGTTCACTTAAGTTCATTTTCAAACTTTTTATTGCTTAAAATACAACTGATATTTGTATATTGAGCCTATATCAATAGGACTTCAGCAAAGTTGCTAAATTCTTAGTTCTAATAGGTTTTTAGGTAGATTTTTTATGGTTTTCTATATATAAGATCATTCATCAGCAGATATCATTTTACTTCTTTCTTTCCAATCTGGATGCCTTTTATTTCATTTTCTTGCCTAATTGTGCTGACTAGAATCTCCAGTACAAAGCTGAATAGAAGTGACAAGAGCAGGCATCCTTGTCTTGTTCCTGATCTTAGGGGGAAAGCTCTCTTTCTTTCACTATTAAATATGATATTAGCTATGGGTTCTTCACAGATGCTCTTTTTCAGGTCAAGGAAGCTCCTTTCTATTCCCAGTTTGTTGAATTTTCTTATCATGAAAGGGTGTTGGATTTGGGCTAGTGCTTTCTCTTCATCTATTGAGATTATCATGTAGTTGTTTTTCCTTTATTCTATTAATATGGTGTATTACATTGATTGACATTCATATGTTGAACCAGCCCTGCATTCCTGAGATAAATCCCACTTGACTGTGATATATAAACCTTTTTATATGCTGCTGGATTTGGATTATTATTTCGCTGAAGACTTCCTTCTGTCTATATTCATAAGGGATATTGGTCTGTAGTGTACTTTTCTTGATATGTCTTTGTCCAGTTTTAGTATCAGGATAACAATGCCTTCACAGAATGAGTTAGGAAGTGATTTTGCCTCTTCTGTTTTTTTGAAGAGTTTGTGAAGGGTTGTGTTAATTCTTCCTTAAATGTTTTTTAGAATTCACTAGTGAAGCCATCTTTGAGGGAAGTTTTTGAATTACTAACTCAATCTCTTTAGTTGTTAAAGGTCTATTCATATTGTCTATTTCTTCTTGAGTCAGGTTTCATAGTTTGTGTCTTTCTAGGAATTTGTCCATTTCATTTAGGATATATCACTTGTCACAGAATTGTTTACAGTATTCCCTTATCACCCTTTTTATTTCTGTAAGGTCAATAGTAATGTTCCCTCTTTCATTCCTGATTTAGTAAATTGAGTCTCCTCTCTTATTTTCTTGGCCAAGCTAGCTAAATGTTTTTCAATTTTGTTGATCTTTTCGAAGAATTAACTTTTGGCTTTGTTCATATTCTCTATTGTGCCAAATTTCTGAAGTCTTCTTTACTTAACTGTTAAAAATTGATGTTATAATTCAACCAACCACCTCAGTAGTTATAGAATTTCCCTTATCTCAATTGCGAAGAGATTTAATATTATAGTTTTAAAAGCAGAAACCTGCTCCATTCATTGCCCTGAGAACTTGGGAAAAATACTTAACCTTTCTGAGCCTCTGTTTCCTCATGTCTGAAATGGAAACAGTAACAGAGATGTCTAGAGATGTTAGATTACATGAGAAGGTATACAAGGCACCTTCCTGCCCCAGGGCCGGGTGTCTGAGTAGACACGCAAAGAATGCTAATTGTCTGCTTGACTGTTAAATTACGTGATGCATATAAATATAATACACTAATGTATAATATACGATGTTACTAATCTTACCTTCATTCCCCTCCTTTACCCACCCTACCCCCAACTTACAAGCTCAGCATGGCCTGGATCCCCATCACATCTCAGTGCTGTTTACCAAACAAGACACTGTTCCAGGGTAGCAGGTGTCATCAACACCTGAGCCTACAGCATAGCCTGCTTTTTTTTTCTTAGTTCTTATGATCAAGTAACTTGCAACATGGGTAGATAAAATGGATCCCTAAAGACTCTGAGTCTCTCAAGGACATCCCCAAACTTCTAGCCCTCATTACCTGCTCAACAAATATGTGAAGAATAAATGAAAGCACTAGAGGGGGCTATAAGCTAAGGGGTTAGTAACGACTGTCCATAGCCCAGCTTCCTCTCTAGGACGCTGGCAACAGATTTGTTAGTGTAGACAGTCCTCAAACTAAGCAGCGAGGTCTTTGTGACACAGCTTAAGAGAGTGTGCCTACAGACCTACTAGAGAATGGACTTGAGGATATGGAGAGGGGGAAGGGTAAGCTGTGACAAAGCGAGAGAGAGGATATACACTACCAAACGTAAGGTAGATAGCTAGTGGGAAGCAGCCGCATAGCACAGGGAGATCAGCTCGGTGCTTTGTGACCGCCTGGAGGGGTGGGATAGGGAGGGTGGGAGGGAGGGAGACGCAAGAGGGAAGAGATATGGGAACATATGTATATGTATAACTGATTCACTTTGTTATAAAGCAGAAACTAACACACCATTGTAAAGCAATTATACTCCAATAAAGAAGTAAAAAAAAAAAAAAGAGTGTGCCTAGGTATGTAGGTTATTTGGAATACAATACAACAGGTTAAAGTAGGAGAATGAAAGGTGGGGCAAGATTATTTTGGAATATTAGAAGAATTAAAGAGTTAAGAGCCTAAGTGATACCTTTGTGGTTGTAAGATAAAGAGAAGCTAGGGAAGGATCTAAATGTAAAGAAACTTACTGCACAGCTTTCTCTGCCAAGATTTTTCTGAAAGTTGCACACAAAATAAATTGCTTAACAGAATGTCTTAAAAAGTGGCACACAGGAAAGCTCTTCAGAACAGTATGACAGATTATGAGAACAAGATCGGGGCTGGGAGTGGGAACAGAGAAAATGGACCAAAGAAAGGTTTTACTTCTTATACACAGGTGAAAGATGATTGTTCTAATATCAAAGTAGTAAGGGGAAAAAAACTTGTTACCCTAACATTTCCTGTCTGTACTCAGTCAGGAAAGTCCAACACGGAAAACAAACAACAAAAGAAATCATAATTCTGATTTCTTTCATCTCAGATCCCATCTAGTATATCAAAAAGTCCCAAGGTAGAATCAACAAGGACAAGTCCAATTCCCAGCCAATGCCTGATAGGACGCTCATGCTTAAAGGATCAGACAAAAGCCATCACCAACAAAAACCGCCAATAAATAATCCCACTTCTACACCAGCTCCTGACTGTGTACCTCTGATGCTCATGAGTTCAGAAAGAACAATTATTTCTGTTAGTTCTTTGAATGCGGTTTGGGGAAGTAGAATAAAGTAACGGTAGGGCTTCCCCAGTGGCGCAGTGGTTGAGAGTCTGCCTGCCGATGCAGGGGACACGGGTTCGTGCCCTGGTCCGGGAAGATCCCACATGCCACGGAGCGGCTGGGCCCGTGAGCCATGGCCGCTGAGCCTGCGCGTCCGGAGCCTGTGTTCCGCAACGGGAGAGGCCACAACAGTGAGAGGCCCGCGTACCGCAAAAAAAAAAAAAAGTAACGGTAATAAAACGAACAGCCGGGAGGAGAAAAGCCAGCATGAAAAACAACAGCTGAAAAGGTTCACACATGCACACGTGTGTGCAAATAAGGCTCATCCTATTTCATGTATCAAAACTGAGGCACTTTTATAGAATATTGGCTACAAAAAACTAATAAGGATGAACTGCAACACTTTAAAAGGAACAGATATCAACAGAATCCTTAAACTTGTATTCTATGAGGTAAGTTTATAAATTACATATTACATAGGAAAAACTTCCTGAATTGATAATATTATAGTTGAAAATTTAAAATTCTCATCAGTTTATCACCTTCCAAAAAAAGAGTCTTTTGGCTGACAGTTTTCTGTTCAACTTCCATCCAGGGTTCTGTGTTTTCATACAGGAGAAAACAGGAGAGTGAGCGTGAGTTTGTATAAAAACTGGTACATTCTCAGATGCTAAGATGCAAAAATTAAAATGTGATGTTTAACACATTACTGCAGATCATATGATTGGGAACAGGCTCTTACCTTCTCTCTCAGAACTTGAAACAAGTTTAGCAAAAATACCACACAAATAAGCAGTGGTTCTCAAATAGTCTTAATGTGTGTGTATTCACAGGTTCATGAAATATAATAAAAACATAAAAATAATTTTATATTAATTTCATTTAACTTTAATGAATTTTCCCCAACTCTAATATTAAAAACATTAAAAGAACTTAAATTTTAATGGCAAAAGTTACTGGTTTCCCTATCTATTAAAAATTTTTGTTTGATTTTTACATATCTAGCATTTACAACTAAAGTACATTTTTATAAGAACTGGCATCTTGATGTATATGGGTCTGAAATGATACTTCATCTTTGATTTTTAATTTGAATTAATAAGATCATGATAGATTTTTTTTTTAATTTTACTTTTAAACCATTTTAGTGTGCTATTATATCTGTTCTAGTACTCTGAGTCACTTTGGTTTTAAAAACTACCTATTTATTTATGGTACCATGTCAAGAATTTCTTAATGTTAAAAAATACTGTATGTATGTGACGACATAACAAACCAGAACAGTTCCTAGATCGGGGAGGGTTCGGATTAGCGTTTACTAAGAGGGCAAGAAGAACTGAACTTTGTACTTCAAAAGGAGATTTTGGTTTTATGAGTTGCTGGTCATATAAGTTGTTTATTTTTATTTCATCAAAGCCTGGCAGGTGTTTGCATTCCAATTTACCTTACAGGGAAGCTTCTTTTCTAAAAATTAGTTTTTAAAATGGGTGATGAATTAATTCCACAGGAAATGACATTATAAACATTAGTTTTCCTTTGAGATAAAATAATATAAGCCAAACTTTCTGAAGTTAAGGGTGAAGCATAATATTACAACTTGTTCTATGTTGTGTTTGTAAAGGTTCCCTAAACTATTAAAATTCAGGCAATTTGTGTAAATTGCAAAAGCAGAAACTGTGATGTTTGCTTAGTAGTATGTTGTGTTAGAATTCTTTTTTGAGGTGTATGTTATACACATAGTAAACTATTATTCAGACTTGCTCATCCTGTATTTTTTAAATAGGAGATACAGCATCCCAAGTCATTTTTAGTTCAGTTAGCCTGCAAAGACTTCATCTCTCTCCCCAAATTCTCTCTTCCAAGCCTTCTTTGTCATCTATGTGCAGTTAAGGTGGAAATGTTTACAGACTTTAGTTTGTAAACTAAAAGTGAACTTAATTTCCATTGTGCCCTTACATCCACCATTGGCAGTAGCCAAAGCTAGCTTTATAGTCTAACAGGAGAGACCATGTTCTGCCATGATGAACCGTGGTGCTGCCAGTGGAGTTTTTTCCCCTTTTGATGGTTTTAGTTAAGCTACTAAATGGATATACACAAGCAGTTGAGTTTACACTAAAACTATGAAATGGTATTTCCCGTCTATGTCCGTGCCTCTTCAAACTTGGACGTGTGGGTTTTTTAAATCATTTTTCACTTCCTTGTCAATCTCTTATAGTGTTCTAATGATGAGAGGGATTCAAATAAAACTAAATACCTTTGAATATCCCTTCCCCTCTCACACACTGAAGGCTGTGGAGGAACTAGACTATTTCCTGTTGCCAAGACATGCTTAGACACCAGAGTTTTCTTTACTCGGCGGCATGCTACCCCCGGCCTCACCCACACCACCTAATTTAAGAGGGTCCTGACCTCAACCTCTACTGAGACGTAAAGGTAAACTCTCCTCCCTCCAGGTTTTTTGAGCAGTTTTTTGGCACTTCACCAGTAGCCCTCATTTTTACATGTGCTGTTGTAAACTTCTTAAGGACAGGGATGATGTCTTGGTGATTTTTGTGCTTCCACCTCAACCCTGGCAGCTAGCCCACTGTCTGGAACAAATCAGGTGTTTAATGTCTGTCAAACTAAATGGAATAAAGGGTTTCTACTAGCAACAGCATTTCTCATGCCTCAGTTGTGTAAGCTGGTTGTTTGTGTTTGGTTTCCTCTGCAAATATGTATGTTTATCACCCACCCAATAATTTAAATTATTTTTTTAAGTTTTGTTTTCTTTCCTTCAGATACTACCCCATGGCCAATTAGCTCTAGAAAATGTAGTTGCTGCCAATGAAAAATTATTTTTTCAAGTTTTGTTTTCTATCCTTCAGATACTACCCCATGGCCAATTAGCTCTAGAAAATGTAGTTGCCGCCAATGAAATGATTATCCCAAACTCTGCCCCTGGTTATACTTCGCCAAACTGAAATTTGAATTTTCTCAATAAATTGGTCATGTCTGAAAAAATATATAAATTGTAAACATTAAGATAAAAATATTATCCAAGATTCAGGTCAATATTTTCTTTAAAAGTTAAACATAAATTTACCATATAGCTCAGCAATTTCACTCATATATTTCTACTCAAGAGGAATGAAAATATAGGTACAAAGATGTGTATGCAAATATTCATAGCAGTGTTATTCATAAGAGTCAAAAATTGGAAATAATCCAAATGTCCATCAACTGATGAATAGATAAGTAAAACATGATATATCCATACAACAGAATATTATTTAGCAAGGAAGAGAAATGAAGCACAGATATATGGCTATAACATGGAAGAACTTCAAAAACATTATGCTTGGTGAAAGAAGCCACATACCAAAGATCACATATTATATGATTCCAGTTATATGAAATGTTGAGACAAGTAAAATCTATAGAAACAGAAAGCAAATTAATGTTTGCCTGGGACTGAAAGTGAGAAAGGAGAGTGATTACAAATGGGCAAGAGGGGGGACTTCCCTGGTGGCGCAGTGGTTAAGAATCCGCCTGCCAATGCAGGGGACACAGGCTTGAGCCCTGGTCCGGGAAGATCCCACATGCCGCAGAGCAGCTAAGCCCATGCGCCACAACTACTGAGCCTGTGCACCACAACTACAGATCCTGTGTGCCACAACTAATAAAGCCCATCTGCCTAGAGCCTGTGCTCCGCAACAAGAGAAGCCACCGCAATGAGAAGCCTGTGCACTGCAATGAAGAGTAGCCCCCGCTCGCCGCAACTAGAGAAAGCCCGTGCGCAGCAACGAAGACCCAATGCAGCCAAAAATTTAAACATTAATAAATAAATAAATAAATTCATTTTTAAAAAATGGGCAAGAGGGATCTTTTTGGAATGTCAGAAATGTTCGACCATCACTACATTATGGTGATGGTCGCATGACTCAATAAATATACTAAAAATCACTTGATTGTACACTTAAAACAAGTGAGTTTTATGGTATGTCAATTACATCTCAGTAGAGCTGCTTAAAAATAATCTACTAAGGTACACAATATAATATGAACAGATCTTAAGTGTACAACTCAGTGAATTTTAACATATGTATACACCCATGTAACCAGTACCCAGATCAAGATACAAAACTTTTTTAGCAGGCCAGAGTTTCCTTGTACCCTTTCCTAATCAGAATGCACCATCTTCCTCCACAAGAGTGGTTACCATTAACTTGTTCTATATCATCTGGATTCATTTTGTCTATAGTGAAACTACAATGTTTCTTTTGCTCAACATAATGTCTACAATATTTATCAAGGCTGAAGCTGATAGCAGTAGTTCATTCTTTTTTATTGTTGTGGAGTATTCCATTGTATAAATATTCCACAATTTGTTTGTAAATTCTTCTGTTAAAGAACATTTAGGTTGTTTCCAGTTTGGGGCTATTATGAGTAAAGCTGCAATGAACATTATTTTAGATGTCTGTTGGCAGACGTATGCACTCCTTTTTCTTGGGTACCTAGCTAAGAGTAGAAATGCTGATTCATGAAGAAAGCAAATGTTTAACTTGGGTAGAAACTGCCATAAGATTTTCCAAACTGTTTAAACAAATTTCCACTCCTACTAACAATGTCTAAAAGTCCCAGCTGTCCCACCTCCTCACCAATAGTTGGTATTGTCAATCTTTCTAATTTTAGCCATTCTGCTAAAATTACATTGTATACATAGTGTGTAGGAGTATCCTGGCATGGCTCTAATTTGCATTTCCTGGATTAAGAATTAAATTGAGCATATTTGCATATACTTCCTGGCCATCTGGTTATCTTCTCTGATGAAGTGCCTGTTCAAGGTTTTTGTCCATTTTTTAACAGGTTATCTGTCTTTTTTCTTATTGCTTTATAGAAGTTCTTTATTCTAAATACAAATCTTTTGTCAGACATATGTACTATAAATATTGTTCCCCAATCTGTGGCTTGCATTTTCTCTCTCTTAATGGTGCCTTTGATACACAAAAGTCCATAATTTTAATGAAGTCCAATTTATCATTATTTTCTTTCATAGTCTGTATTTTTTATGTTCTGTTTAAGAAATCGTCTGTGTATGCCAAGGTCATGAAGCTTTTCTTCTATGTTTTCTCCTAGAAACTTTATTGTATTACCTTTCCCAATTGAGTGTTTGATCACTAATCAAATTAATTTTTGTATATGGAGTCACAGTTCATTTATTTCCCATAAAGATACCCACTTGATACAGTACTGTTTATTGATAAGACTATCTTTTCCCACAGGATTGCAGTGGCATTGTGACCATAAATCAGGTGACTATATCATACATGAGTCTGTTTCTGGACTCTATTGTGTTCCATTGTCCCATTTTTTCCTTGGCAAATGCTACTGACTTAATTACTGAACCTTGATAGTAATCTTGAGCTAGGGAAGATTTTAATGTACCATTTGTTGTAGAACTTTGTGAGCTGTTCTTGTAAGAGAGACAAATGCCAAAAATTAACTATTTCAAGTCCTATATGTCATCAAATACCCATTCTGAAGCAGATAATTTTTTTTAATCAGCAAAATGAAAACCTGAATATTTTTCACCACAAAAGGCTTATAAAATCTACAGGATCTCTTTATGTTAACTGCAGGTAGCTGTTGAAGCCCAGAATAAAAATGGCTTACCTGAGTAATATAAATAGTGTCTTTGAACTTGCGTAATTGATCTGCACTTTGGGGGAGTTTGAAGTGAAGCTCAGCCTGGTGAAGCATTTTATAGTTACCATCTGTGAAATGTTGTCTATGATGTGCAAATTTGCTTTCATAAGACCAGTCCTCTTTAGATGAAACCTTTCAAGCAAAGAATAAGAGGTTCAGATTGGGAAGTTAGGAGTGAAACTACTTTTCTTCACACTCCTGACAAACTTGAAAAGTACTACACACATTTGCAGAGCCCAAAGCTAACAGTAATAAAATATCACTAGTAAAATGGTAAATGCTTAGCACTTGCTCATTTGCTTCTCAGTGATTACTAAATATATTTGATATATACACATGTTTAATTTTGATATAGTTGAAGATACAAACCAAACAATGATACTTCTTTCCCCTAATAATAAATCTTTTTTTTTTTTAACTTACAGAATCTTTCTTTTCCTTTGAGAAGCTATCATCAGGTCAAGTAAAAAATAAAAACAAAAATAAATAAATAAATAAATACAAATACCACACAGGTTAGTAGTGTACCTTCTACAGGAGAAAAAAAAAAGCAATAATTCTGGCTTTTAGGCCCTATGATTTAATGAACTGTTAGCATTTGACAAAGATATAAGACAATTGCTGGCTACATCTGAAAATATCAGAGTTTTAAGCCAAGTTACACAGACACTTTGAAAAAACATATTCCACTCCACCCTCAAAAAACCATGAAAATTAGGAAGCTTAGTAATCCCTGTTCATAAAATATGACTTAGAATTCTCAGTAATCATGCAATGCACAGACCAATCACCTTAAAAGGAAAAAGTTATTCTTTAGGAATTGATTTATACCAAAATATAAGCAACATACATTAGCCATATTTAATGTGGTAGTTTTTCCAAATTGTATTTAGTTTTTGAAAATGTTACCACCAGACAGTTTAGAGAACACCAATTACTTCTATTATTTATTTGAAACAGAGGTATAGTATTTACAGTCATCTTGTACACATTTGAGATGCGCAAACCTTTAGCAATAGTCTTCCCTTCTTTCTACGCTTCTTCCTTTTCAAAATCTGAAACACATCTCCTGGCCTCTCAGCCCTGTGGCTGCTAATAATTTAAAGGTATCCCATAATCATAAACCTGATCTGTTATGTGGGAAGCTTTCTACCTTCTGATAGCTATGGTTTGAAATTCTTGTAAATTTCAGCTATAACAATGTTACCAGAGGAATTAGAAAGTGTCAGATAATGGGGCTTCCCTGGTGGTGCAGTGGTTGAGAGTCCGCCTGCCGATGCAGGGGACATGGGTTCATGCCCCCGGTCCAGGAAGATCCCACATGCCGCGGAGCGGCTAGGCCCGTGAGCCATGGCTGCTGAGCCTGCGCGTCCGGAGCCTGTTGCTCCGCAACGGGAGAGGCCACGACAGTGAGAGGCCCATGTACGGCAAAAAAAAAAAAAAGAAAGTGTCAGATAAGGCTCTAATTGCTTTAAGAATATTAACTCATTTAATCATCATAACAACCCCATGAGTGGGTACTATTATCACCCTATTTTACAGATGAGAAAACCAGGCACAGAAAGGTTAAGTAATTTGCCCAAGATCCAAAGCTAATTAGTGCAGTCTAGCTTCGTATAAACCATATGACTAGCATTGCCTGTATTAATAGTAACAATAGCTTACATTTTATGGGTTCATCACTATGTGTCAAGAACTGTGCTAAGTGTTTCAACGCATTAATTAACTTAATGTTTACACACCATCACATGCACACATGCATACCTGCATGTGCACACACGCACACAAACACTCCTTAAAGTATCTACTCCTATTACCCCCAATTTAGATGAGAACACTGAAATTCAAAAGGAATGAATAATCTTTTCAAGGCAGTATAGCTAGTGTGTGGAAGTTCTAGTATTCAAATCCTGATCTGTTCATTCCAAAACCCAATCTTTCTATTGCTGTATATTGATGATCACCTGTTGAAAATATGATTATTTTATGAAGAAGTAATGTATCCCAACCAGAGAAAGACATTTTAATATATTTGCTGAATGCATGAAAAAAAAATGAAGATTTTACGTAAAGGTTTTCTTTTCCCAACACCTACTCAAATTCTCCACTAAGCAATGTAGTTCGAAAAGAGGCAACAATCAAATCAAGGGTTCATAATAAACAGGACTTATCTTTATCTTTCCCTATTTTAAAATATAGTGTTTAGTATCTTTGAATGTCATCAGGCATTTCACAAAAACATGGGAATTCCATTATTTTCGAGAGGTGAATAGAAATGCTTACAGATTTTTTTTAAAAAGGTTTAGCAATTCCTAACACTCATCTTTCTGAAATGTAGTGAAAAGAAAATAGATCAATTCTGGAGTCAGACAATAAGCCTGAATACAGATATGCTACTTACAGTCTAGGGACATTGACAGAACTCTCACCATATATATATCAATATATATTGATTTCCCTCTGGGCCTCAGGGCTGGATTATTGTTAAATGATGTACCTGGTACAGAAATCTGCTCAGTAAATATTTTTGATTCTTTCATTCCTTCTTTTCCATTCTCAGCACTTGTTCCTACCTGAGTCAGGATACTGAACTGCATCTTCTTTCACTTTGAAACAACAGTGTTCCCAAAAGATTGGGCCCACAATATGGGAGTAATAAAAAAAAACAAGGGGTAGAACTAAGGTTATGGCATTACTCATTAAAGTTAAAAATACAATATAACTTCAACGTAGAAGTACAGTTGTGTTCAGGTGGTGAGATTGAGGAAGATTTTTAAATTCTCTTAAAACTTTTTTTGTGGTTACTTCACACAAGTGATGCAGAAGGGGGAAAACTACATGATTATTTCAATAGATGAAGAAAAAGCATTTGACAAAATCCAACACCCTTTTATGATACAAGCAGGCAACAAACTAGGAATAAAAGGGCATCTATGAAAAACCTACAGTTAATATCATACTAAATGATAAAAAGGCTTTTTCCCTAAAAACAGGAATCTCCCTGAGAAAAGGAGTGAGAAAAGATTATCTGTTCTCGCCACTTCTATACTGTACTGGAGGTTCTAACCAGGGCAATTAGGCAAGAAAAGTAAACAAAAGGCATCTAGATTGGAAAGGAAAAAGTAAAGTTACCTCTATCTGCAGATGACATGCTCTTATACATAAAGAATTCACACACACATACCCCAAAAAACAAAAACCCATTAGAGCTAATAAATGAGTTCTACAAGGTTGCAGAATATAAGTTCAATATACAAAAATCAATTGAATATTTAGACACTAGCAATAAACAATCTGAAAATAAAATTAAGAAAATAATTCCAATTACAATAGCACCAAAAAATACTTAGGAATAAATTTAACCAAAGAAGTATATGACTTATACACTGAAAACTACAAAATAGTATGAAAGAAATTAAAGATGACATCACATGTTCATGAATCAGAAGACTTAATATTGTTAAGATGGCAATTCTTTGCAAACTGATCTACAGATTCAACACAATCCCCATCAAAATCCCAGCTGACTTTGTTACAGACACTAGCAAGGTGATCCTAAAATTCATATGGAAATGCAAGGCACCCAAAACAGTCAAAACAATCTTGAAAAGAAGAACAAGGTTGGAGAACTGACACATCCAGCTTTCAAAACTTACTACAACAGTATAATAATGATGACAGTGGATACTAATATAAAATAGACATACACAATGGAACAGAACTGAGAATCCAGAAATAAACATTAACATTTATGGTCAATTGATTTTTGACAAAAGGGTCAAGAGAATTCAATTAGGGAAAGAATAATGTTTTCAGAAATGGTGTTGGGACAATTGGCTGTCCAAAACTGGACATCTACCTCACACCATACAAAATAATTAACTCAAAATAGACCATGTAAGAGCTAAAACTAAAAGACAGCACAGGAGTAAACTTTTGTGATCTTAACTTAGGCAATGGCTTCTTAGATACAACACCAAAGCACAAGCAATAAAAGAGAAGATTGATAAGTAGGACTTCAAAATTTTAAATTTTGTGCTTTTGGGACTTCCCTGGTGGCACAGTGGTTACGACTCCATGCTCGCAATGCAGGGGGCCCAGGTTTGATCCCTGGTCAGGGAACTAGATCCCACATGCATGCCACAACTAAGAGTTTGCATGCCACAAATAAGGAGCCCACGTGCCACACTAAGGAGTCCACCTGCCGCAACTAAGGAGCCCATATGCCGCAACTAAGACCCAACGCAACCAAATAAATAAATAAATAAAATTTTGTGCTTTAAATGACACTATCGAGTAAGTAAAAAGACAACCCACTAATAGGGAGAAAATGTTTGCAAATCATATAGCTATTAAAAAAATTACCATCTATATCATGGACACATAGATGGTATGTTTTTTGTAAGCTCTTACAATAAACTCTTACAACCTGATAATAAAAAGACAATCCAATTAAAAAGTAGGCAAAGGATTTTTGCCTACTTTTTATTTCTCCAGATATTTCTCCAAGGAAGATATACAAAGAGCCAACAAGCACATAAAAAGATGTTCAACATGATTGGCCATCAAATAAATACAAATTTCCTGTCAACGTAAATTTCCAGGGAAATGTTTAAAAAAAAAGACAAAAATGGGGACTAACAAGTGTTGACGAGGATGTGGAGAAAATGAAACCCTCGTGCATTGCTGGTGGGAATGTAAAATGGTGCAGCCGCTATGGAAAACAGTTTGGCAATTCCTTGGAATATTAAATATTAAACATAGAGTTACCATACGACCCAGCAATTCCACTCCTAGGTATATACTTAATAGAATGGAAAACATATGTTCACACAAAAACATGTACACAAATGTTAACAGCAGCATTATTCATAAGAGCCAAAAATGGGGAATAACACAAATGTATATCCACTGAAGAACGCATAAACAAAATGTGCTTTATCCATTCAATGGAATATTATTCAGCAATATAAAAGAAAGACATACTAATTCATGATACAACATGGATGACTTTTGAGAACTTTATGCTGGGTGAAAGAAGCCAGTCGCAAAAGATCACATATGTTATGATCCCAATTATAAGAAATGTACAGAACAGGCAAAAATACAGACACACAGAGCAGATTAGTGGTGCCTAGATCCGGGATGGGAGGGACAGAGAGAGCGGGGAGTGACTGCTAATACAGAGGGTACAGAGTTTCTTTGAGGTGATGTAAATATTCTAAAATTAGATCATGGTGATGGCTGCGTAACTCTGCGACTATACTGAAAACCATTAAACTGTACACATTCCATGAGTACATTGTATGGCCAGCGAGCTAGGTCTCAATAAAGCTGTTAAAAAAAAACACACAAGTCTGAAACAACCCACCTACAAAACAGAATCTTTAGGAATAGAGAAAGTGAAGTGCCATACTGAAAATCAAATACACCAACATGAAGAAAACGGAAGAGGAGGAAGAGGAGGGGAGAAAATAAAAGGAATGATATGACGTGCTAACATCAGACAAAGGTTTATTTATCACATTCATTTCTCTTATTGTAGCAAACTATCCAGTTCTGAATATCTGTAAGTAATAAAACAGTTGCAGGACACATAGAAAGTAGTAAGTGAGAGTAATTTTCACATGTGATAATAACTCAGCCTTCAGTAATCACCGGCTTCCATTTAATTTTTGAATACTCTTGACGGAACATAATTAAAAGCAATATAGAAAAGTTATAATCCCCAAAATGATGACTACAAGAGTTTAGTACCCCAAAGGTTAAGGATAAAAAGTTCTTTTGTTTTTTTTGGTACGCGAGCCTCTCACTGTTGTGGCCTCTCCCGTTGCGGAGCACAGGCTCCGGACGCGCAGGCTCAGTGGCCATGGCTCACGGGCCCAGCCGCTCCACGGCACGTGGGATCTTCCCGGACCGGGGCACGAACCCGTGTCCCCTGCATCGGCAGGTGGACTCTCAACCACTGCGCCACCAGGGAAGCCCTAAAAAGTTATTTTCTATTATCTTCTTCCTACACTTCCATTTAAATAAGAAGTAGATTTCATTTGACTTTCTGAACCACTGTTAAGGAAGTGACATACACCCATGGCCTACCATTCTGAATCACTGGGAAATCAAAGATGGCTTACCTTTTCTAATGTACTGAAGGAAGGCCAGGACTGATATCCATATTCAGATACAAATCGAGCTTTGGGGAAAATTTTCCAATTCCAGCAATCACCAACATAGTCATAAAAATGTACGTCACCATAATTCGGGTCGTATGGGTTTTCAGAGAGCCAGCCTTCTGCAGTGGATTTAGCCCCATTTGTAGGACTGGATGTGATAAAAGGACGAGTCTGGTCTCCCTGAGTTCAGAAATAAAATGGTTTAAAAGATAAGCTTTTCACTCAGTAAAGTACAGATCACTTACTTCTTTAAAAGTAGTATCAAGTCCCAGAAATGCCAAGTAGCTGATAGAAAAATAACAGAGCCACTTACCTTCTTCTGCATTTGACAACCACCAGCAGCTTTCTGCTTTTTGCCAATCCTTCATAGCCTTTCATAATGAACTGTAGCTTATTCCTCACAGTAGCTGTTCCTAATTTTTTCAATCATGTCTTAACCTATACTTGACCTTCTACCATCGTGGGTAGTATACTGTCTGGTGCTGAATTTCTCAACCTTGGCACTAGTGACATTTGGGGCCTGATAACTTTTGGTTTTGTGTGTGTATGCTGGGAGTGGGGGAGGTCCTATACACTCTACTAGATGCCAGTAATACCTACCCACCTGCCACGCCACCCCACAAAAAAAAGTCTACAGACATTGCCAAATGTCCCCTTGTACCTTGGGAACAAAATCACTTCCACCTGAGAAACAAAGGTCTAATGGTTTAGAATGGGCTATTGAGTCAGAGGGACATGAGTTTGAATCTCAAATTAGAACCTTATTGTTTTGGGACAGGTCTAAGCCTCAGTAGGCTTATCTGTAAAATGGAGATAATAATGGTACCTCCTTCATTGGGCTATTGTAAATGGTAATAAAAAAAAAAAATGTGTGGAAGAGATGGCTAAGTGTCCATCAAAATTCATGTTCCCATTTGTGTCCCTAGAAAGTGGCTTGCTAACTATTTGCATCTCTGTGCAGCCACATTCTCATCCTATTCCCCAGTTTGTAGGCAAAGGCCTAAGAGATGGTGGAGCTGGAAGATGGAAGGAGCCTGGGTCTCTAAAAGGAGGGGAGCTGCCTGCCCATCAGAAGCAACTATTGTGTAGTGTTACTGAGTAAGAAAGAAACTTTTTTTATGTAAACCACTGAAACTCTGTGGTTTCTTTGTTACAGTAGCCAATATATAATTACTTAATCCAGTGTCTAGCACACAGGGAGAACTCAAAATGTTTTAATTATTATTATCTCAATTAATGAACTTACTTCCTATTTCAGTGACAAGAATCATTCATTTAGCAAGTATCTGTCAAGTGTTTATTGTGGGTCAGGTTTTTCAGCACTGCTGAGAGAAAGAGAGAGAGACAGACAGACAGACAGAATCTATGGCATCATCCAGTATTAACGCATCAAATCTCTTTTGAGCATTTACTATGCACCAGGCATACAGTTTCTTCTATACACTGGAGGTTCAGCAGGGAACAAGACAGACATGCCGACTGACCTCTTAAAAGAGTAGACTGAAGTCTAGTGGTGGAACGAGATGCTGAGCAAGTAATTGTAAGTGTGATGAATGTTTTAAAGGATAAGTACAGGGCTCTTCGGAAATACAAAACGTGTAGAAGGCCAATAAGCCTCTCTGAGAAATAGATTTTCAGAAAATAATTTTCTCAGCTTTTCCCCATTAGGTCTCACTTTTTCTTGGTATAACCACCCATTTTTTTCTCTTCTCATTCCTTTTCTGTCATAGGGGGAAAAAAACCTTATTCTTTTCCTTTGCCAGAGTCTCTGTCTGTCCTCTGGTCATCTTTGGATCACTTTGGAATTAAAGCCAATAAATTATCCTCCACTCTTTTAGAAATCTCTCCACTGTCCTTTTCCCTTAGCTTAAGGGCTCCCCGCATCCTAATTTTTAAAAAGTCCCTCGATCCCTTGGAGCCCATCAGATTTCTTTACCACCCATTCCTTCCTCAGCCCCTAACACTCAATTCCTGATCATTCCACTCCACTAAAATTGTTTTTGGTTTTGTTTTTTCATAAACTACCCATGGACTTCTACTTCCCAAATAAAGCAAGAATCCCCACACTCTTCCCTCTCTGGTGAGCAATAAATGACCTGTTTACCACACACAATTTCTGAAGTTCTCCCCACCCGTGACTGCTTGTTCACTACTCTTTCACATTCTGGTTTCTCCAAACCTTTCTGATAATTCCTTCTCCAGCTCCCCTCTCCACATTCTTAGATGGACGTCACTCTCTTCAGCCTCTCCTGTTCTATACCTTCTCCCAAGGCTGTCCCTCTCACCAATGTTCTGATTACTCCCAGACTGCTTCACCTTCACATTTCTATTTCCAATAACCAGCTCCACATTTCTACCTGGCTTGTCCTGCCCACATCTCAAATCCAATCTTTCAAAGCAGAATTCCTTATTTACTTATCCCAAACTTATTTGACTACGCTTCGTACCTTCATTAAAGGTACCCAAGTAGGAATCATCTTCAATTTCTCCCTCTGTCTCTCTCACCTCCCACACTCAGTTGCTCTGAATCAAATTTTTTTCCATCACCTCATTTCAAGCCCCACTACCTATGACCTATATGACCTTAAGCAATTAATCTTTCCAACCCTCCCATGTCTTATCTCTAAAATAAAGATTATATTTCTCACATGCCAGGGTGCTTGTAAAAATTAAGTAAATCCTACAAAGCACCTATATCATTAATATGTTAGTATATTATAATAATCATATTAGTTAATACAATAATTAGTCTATCAATGCCTGGCATATAATATTCCTAATAACTTGGAATTTTTGGTTATTATATCTGTTTTCCTTGCCTAGAATCTCTCATCCCCCTAATTCTTTGCAAGTAATAATACCAGCAAGAACATGGGTCAGATAAAATTCTTCCCCTCCCCCAAAACGTTCACTAGCTTCCCACTGTCTACTGAATGAAACCCAACTCCATAACATGATTCAAAGTCCTTTTAAGATTTGTTTCCAAACTGCCTTTTCTGTCTTTGACTCTCCACACCAATCCATGAGTCCCTTGCTTCAGGCACTGGGCACTGCTTGCTGCTTCCTATATATATACACGTGCTTTCACCTCTTTTCACCTTTACTGACATTGTTTTCCTGGCCTAAAATACCTACAGAACAATCCTTTGCCTCAAATTCTATTCCGCCTTTAAGGCTTGAATGTCACCTTTTAATTAAAAGCCTTCCCAGATCCTGCCAGTTAAAATGAATGGCTCTTCCACATAGTTGCCAACACTTTGGAACTACATTTTTCATAGCACTTCTTTCACTCTGCCCTGTAGAGCTGGTATTTCTTTCCACGTTACCTCCTGGGAGCAGACTATAAGCTCCGTGAGGATAACAGTTTCCCCATAGCATCGGGAATGAGGCTTTGCTCCTAGTAATATTCAACAAATTTTGGTTGAATTTTAAAATATTGAAAAGCGTGGTAAGATTATGGGTAATCAAATTTTAAACAATATTCTATTATAATGGCTTTGAAGTAGAATTGGAGAAGGCTGATCAACTGGCCTTAATCAATCAAGCTTGATTGGTTTCCCTCCATTATTCCAGATTCTTGAATAATTTGGTAAATTGAGCCAGTCAGTAAAATTACTAATGAATCTCTGCCTTAAAATGTCCACCCATGATGATGCACTATGATTCCTTTCCATTTTTGTATCATTTCCACTTGAGGCTTGATTTTTAGTCTCAAATCTCACAGATGATTTCTTCCTAGATCATGACCTTAAATGCTTATTTGGACAAAGAGATATGTAAAATAAACCAAGAGACTGACTATTTTTAAAAAGCATGAAGTGCAAAAGAAAACTGATCATTTCATTTAGTGTGTGGGTAGATCAATTTATGGTCCTTTTCCTTCAATGCCTTATGCTTTGATATAAATAACAACAATATGATTACATAGCACTTAATCCTGTCCATCTTGAAAACCACTGGCAAACATCAATTACTGCTCACAAAATCATTTTAAAAAACACAGATTCCCTTGGGAAATTCCCTGGCAGTCCAGTGGTTAAGACCCAGTGCTTCCACTGCTGTGGACCCCGGTTTGATCCCTCGTTGGGGAGCTAAGATCCTGCAAGCTGTGTGATGCAGGAAAATAAATAAATAAAGCAGTTGTCCGTGTTCAAGATGGCAACATAATTATCTTCAAAAAAAAAAAAGATAGTTTTTAAATTAATTAATTAAAATTAAAAAAATTTAAAAACATAGATCCTTCATAAGAAAGGCATCACATTTCCATTTCAAAGATGGATAAGAAGTGGTATACAGAAACTAATTTTTTATAAGTTCAAAAATGTAGTGTTAAAATTAGAGATTAAAGTTTGAAAGTATCTGAAGACCTATCTTGTTGAGTGAAACCAACAAGGATGATAATGATTAGCATTAAGTAAAAGTCTACTATGTGCCAGAGTCTGTGGAATGTACCTTCCATCCTTTATCTCACTTAATCCAAATAACATCTCTTAAGAGCTGTTAACCCTTGGCAAAATGGAGGTTAAGTAATTTGCCCAAGAATATATAGAGAGTAAGTGGTCCAGCCAGGATTTGGAGTCATGAGCTCTTAACCACTAAGCTATGAAACAAAAATCCTCAGATATTAAAGTCCAGTTCCTAAATCCATCAGATATGAAAAACATAATACCAATACGGTGAGTAACCAGATTATAAGTGTTCTGTAAATATTAATTAAAGCTTATACCATCACATTTTGTGAACAGAAAAATTTTTCATGACATATGACTTAGCATAACAGATAAGCAAAAAATTTGAACCTATGGGTTTTTCATAAATTCTCACTGAAGTTTCCTCACATAAATGGAATAATGCCATCATCTGGGTACATTTGAGTGCCAAAGTCACATACCATTCTTTTTCAAATATCTCTCTTCAAATTGCTTCAAGGATATACTTCAAATATTTAAAACATCTAATTACAGATACAAAATTATAAAGATAGATTATTAAATCACATGTTAAACATTAAAGTTTTTAAAAAGCCAGATCTTTTGAAGCCATTACCACAAAAACAAACATGATGCTTCCTCTTCCTGCAAAAGAAATCCAGTGTATATTAAAATAAAGTATGTATTCATGTAGTAAATACAAGTATAATATGCCTATTAAACAAATAGTGGTGGAAAGAGAACCACCAT